ACAGCCAGGTCACACATCAAACCATTCCCTGTTAACTAGCTCTGGCCACAGGGTGAGTGAGGGAGATTTCTCACAGCCAGGTCACACATCAAACCATTCCCTGTGTTAACTAGCTCTGGCCACTGGGTGAGTGAGGGAGATTTCTCACAACCAGGTCACATATCAAACCATTCCCTGTTAACTAGCTCTGGACACAGGGTGTGTGAGGGAGATTTCTCACAGCAAGGTCACACATCAAACCATTCCCTGTGTTAACTAGCCCTGGCCACTGGGTGAGTGAGGGAGATTTCTCACAGCCAGGTCACACATCAAACCATTCCCTGTGTTAACTAGCTCTGGCCACAGGGTGAGTGAGGGAGATTTCTCACAGCCAGGTCACACATCAAATCATTCCCTGTGTTAACTAGCTCTGGCCACAGGGTGAGTGAGGGAGATTTCTCACAGCCAGGTCACACATCAAACCATTCCGTTTTAACTAGCTCTGGCCACAGGGTGAGTGAGGGAGATTTTTCACAGCCACGTCACACATCAAACCATTCCCTGTGTTAACTAGCTCTGGCCACATGGTGAGTGAGGGAGATTTCTCACAGCCAGGTCACACATCAAACCATTCCCTGTTAACTAGCTCTGGCCACAGGGTGAGTGAGGGAGATTTCTCACAGCAAGGTCACACATCAAACCATTCCCTGTGTTAACTAGCTCTGGCCACAGGGTGAGTTAGGGAGCATACATTGGCAGTTTTGCTTACGATTCGTAGCACCCAGTAGTGACATAAAGACAAACTGATATCAATCGATGAATGAGGGGATACGGTAACCATGGTTATATCTGGGCGGGGAGGCTGGAGTGATGCAAGTACCAGACATCCACCACCATAATATTGGTCCTGCCAAACCAAGGATCATTCACGTGACTCTGGGAATAAAACCCATGATAACAGAACAGCTAAGGGACACAAATTCCTTGTACACATTGTCTACACGCACACAACCTTTCCAGGAAGTGGTCATACATACAAGTTATCACCCATGAAGATCCGGGGTAGAATAGGTCTTCAGCAACCCATGCTTGCCGTAAAAAGCGACTATGCTTATCGTAAGAGGCGACTAACGGGATCGGGGGGTCAGGCTCGCTGACTTTGTTGACGCATGTCATCGTATCCCAATAGCGTTGACAGATGCTCATGATGTCAATCACAGGATACTGTAAGCTACTTGATAGCTGCATGACCTACATATGTTGTTTGGTGTTGGAATACATGTATGTACAAACAGTCAAACTTTTTGAAAACAAAGAATCTACATATGCATGGCTGTTTTGTAATTTGTATGATTTTGTTTGTTTGTTGTTTAACGCAACACTCAGCGATATTCCAGCTATATGATGGCTGTGTGGAAGTAATCAAGTCTGGACCAGACAAATAAGCCCAATAACTGTTCCTGTCTGCACGACACCATTACCAACGATGTACAAAAAACGTTAATGTTAATATGCATGCATGAAATATTGAAACATTCCGACCAACTGGTATTCTGGTTTATGTGCGTGCGTGTGTGTGTGTGTGCGTGCGTGCGTGCGTGCGTGCGTGCGTGCGTGTGTGTGTGTGTGTGTGTGAGAGAGAGAGAGAGAGCGTGTCAGAGCGTGTGTGAGAGAGAGCGTGTTCGTGTTTTTGTGTGCGTGCGTGTTCGTGTATTTGTGTGCGTGCGTGTTCGTGTATTTGTGTGCGTGCGTGTTCGTGTATTTGTGTGCGTACGCGTGTTTACTTTGTCAAAAAAAACTCCCTGACCCCTGAAGAACCGGGTTAGAAAATGTCTATATAGAATATGTTTGCCGTAAACGGCGACTTACGGGATCAGGTGGTCAGGCTCGCTAACTTGGTTGATGCATCTCATTGCATCCCAATTGCTTAGATTGAAACCCTTGATGTCAATCACTGGATTGTTTGGTCCAGACTCGATGATGTACAGAACGCCGTCATATAGTTGGATTATTGAGGAGTTCAACTAAAAAGCAACACAAAAAAAAAAACCTGGCCCCCTATTAATACGACTTGACCAGGGGGTACATGTATACTGACGTATATTCTTGAACATGACACATACAGATGTAACCGCCCCGATTATGTTTCTAGGTTTGTCAGCACCATACCCGTGCTCGTGGGTTTCACCGAAGCGGTAAACGTCTGATACCTGCGTCACTTCGGGCTTTCCTCCCACATTAAGCTGACACACCGTGATATAACTGGAATAATGTTAAAAGCAGCGATAAACCCAACTCAATCACTCTTAGCCAGATCACACATCATACCATTCCCTGTGTTAACTAGCTCTGGCCATAGGGTGAGTGAGGGAGATTTCTCACAGCCAGGTTACACATCAAACCATTCCCTGTGTTAACTAGCTCTGGCCACAGGGTGAGTGAGGGAGATTTCTCACAGCCAGCAGGTCATACATCATACCATTCCCTGTGTTATCTAGCTCTGGCCACAGGGTGAGTGAGGGAGATTTCTCACAGCCAGGTCACACATCAAACCATTCCCTGTGTTAACTAGCTCTGGCCACAGGGTGAGTGAGGGAGATGTCTCACAGCTAGGTCACAATTCAAACCATTCCCTGTGTTAACTAGCTCTGGCCACAGGGTGAGTGAGGGAGATTTCTCACAGCCAGGTCACACGTCAAACCATTCCCTGTGTTAACTAGCTCTGGCCACAGGGTGAGTGAGGGAGATTTCTCACAGCCAGGTCACACGTCAATCCATTCCCTGTGTTAACTAGCTCTGGCCACAGGGTGAGTGAGGGAGATTTCTCACAGCCAGGTCACACATCAAACCATTCCGTTTTAACTAGCTCTGGACACAGGGTGAGTGAGGGAGATTTCTCACAGCCACGTCACACATCAAACCATTCCCTGTGTTAACTAGCACTGGCCACATGGTGAGTGAGGGAGATTTCTCACAGCCAGGTCACACGTCAAACTATTCCCTGTGTTAACTAGCTCTGGCCACAGGGTGAGTGAGGGAGATTTCTCACAGCAAGGTCACACATCAAACCATTCCCTGTGTTAACTAGCTCTGGCCACAGGGTGAGTGAGGGAGCATACATTGGCAGATTTTGCTTACGATTTGTAGAGCCCAGTACTGACATAATATAGCTGGAATATGGCTGAGTGTGGCGTTCAACAACAAACAAACAAAATCAAACAAATTACAAAACATATGTAGATTCTTTATTTTCAAAAAGTTTGACTGTTTGTACATACATGTATTCCAACACCAAGCAACATATGTAGGTCATGCAGCTATCCAGTAGCTAACAATTTCTTTTTATCCTCGTATTATGGGTTTTCGGACGTTTAAGTAACATTTGTAGTTTTCTTGTCAATCACATGAACAATTGCAAAACATCTCACTCACCAATAAATGACAGCTTCATCTTAAAAACAAGCCGTCATATAAGTATTTACAATGTCTTGATGATGTCACACCCATTGTTATAACAAGTGAAATCGTGATAAACATATCTGTCCGAAAACATATCATGTCCAAAAAAATATAATCCAACAATAACTGTACAAGGTGATAAAAGTTGAACTGGGAGAGGTTTTGAATGATCTGACATAAACATGCACTCATCACAGGGGGTTGGGGGGGTGGGGGGAGAGTGAGTATGGTTTTATGCTGCTTTTAGCAATATTCCAGCAATATCACGGCGGGGGACACCAGAAATGGGCTTCACACATTGTACCCATGTCGGGAATCGAACCCGGGTCTTCGGCGTGACGAGCGAACACTTTAACCACTAGGCTACCCGACCGCCCTGCACTCATAACAGATTTGGGCAAACATGTGCCAACCACTAGCTACAAACATTCCATTTCCATTTAGATTAATGTAACTAAATACATGGTGACAGACAGCATTTATTTCCTCATTAAACAATTTCCAATGCTGATTGGTCAGTTGCAATTATATGACATCACATTGCGAACAGATATGACATCATCCATTGTTGAGAACAAGAGTGAGTGAGTATGGTTTTACTCCACTTTTAGCAATATTCCAGCAATATCACGGCGGGGGACACCAGAAATGGGCTTCACACATTGTACCCATGTCAGGAATCGAACCCGGGTCTTCAGCATGACAAGCGAACAAGGTAACCACTAGGCTACCTGACTGCCCCGTTGAGAACAAGAAGATGACGTCATCCACTGTTAATGAAACCATTCTATCAAAACATGTTACTCATATATTTTTCTACACATTTTTTTTAAAATGATGATGGAACTGAGGAACTACTTGGAACTGAGGCCGGATTATCGGTCCCTTGTGAAATGGATTGTTAATCAAGATCTATATTGCAATAAAATAAGTCTAACTTCGCTAAGTGCTTTAAATCATGTGAGCACCATGATTAAAAACATGAAAAGGTTTGGAAAATATCTGTTGACACTAACTTGACGGTACACATATGCTTTGCAAATCCTGCAATCGACCAAAACCTGCACGGCATTTTACAAACTGGATGTTGATTTCGTTGCCCGATTTTCATTGGACTATGCATAGATTCGTCAATCAAGCCAAAATATAACTCTGTAATTCCAGCCTAGTTTGGCAAAGGTGGGAATTTGACTTTTTTTCTAAAATGATGATGGTTTTATGGGAATAACATACTTGAAACTCAGGCTGGATTATCGGTCCCTTGTGAAATGGATTGTTACAAAAACATTCATTCATTCTGGACAAATAATGAGTCATTCTGAAAACGACACCCTCAGCTTTGACCAATCATGTTCACTGCAATGTGGCACTCATTTGTTTATGAGGAATGAACCTAAATCAGAAAATTCCCCAAAGAATTTGACCCGTGAAGATCCGGGGTAGAATCGGTCTTCAGCAACCCATGCTTGCCGTAAAATGCGACTATGCTTGTCGTAAGAGGCGACTAACAGAATCGGGTGGACAGGCTCGCAGACTTGGTTGATGCATGCCATCGATCTCAATTGCGTGGATCAATGCTCATGATGTCAATCACTGGATTGTCTAGTCCAAACTCGAATATTTACAGACTGCCGTCATATAGCTAGAATATAGCTGAGTGCGGCGTTAAACAACAAACCAACCAGCCACCAGATGTTACATACTTATTCACCATGGTACAGACAGGTGAGGTGAAATGTAGCTTCAAAATGATTCTCCTGAGACGTACTGAACACTCTGGGCTCAGGTAAACTTGATGTGTTTTCTGTTGTTGGGTTGTGAGGTGACCTGGGGTGCGGAAGAGGGGTCAGCTGCGAAGGCCTGCTTGACCCGGTCTCGATGGCGGGGTTTCTTGGACCTGTCCTTGGGTTTCCTCACCTCGCCCGGCCGCAGGTTGGTCGGCTTCATCCCCAGCTTCTTGGCCTTCTTCAGCAATCGCTGTCTCACAGGATGTTTGTACAGCAGGGTTAAGGAGCACAACACAAGACAAGGTGACACCATTGAGGAGAGGGAGTTACTAAATTTTGCTATATTTTTTCCTGATTGTTGACCATGCCTTAAAACCAAATAATGTTTTTATAAGTATTTTACTCAAGGTATGCATAAACATATAAAATTACAATGTACAATGGGCAAATAGTAAGGCTAATTTTCCAGCCATATGGCTGGATTGTAAATTATTAAAGTCTGGACAAGAAAACCAATGGCTGAAAGTATGAGCAAGTAGCCCCTCCATGAGGGCACGATGATGTGCAGTCAGCCAAGTCATGGAGCAAGCAGCCCCAGGACTGCCATGCCCAATCCCCAGGACCTCCCATGCCCAAACCCCAGGACTACTTATGCCCAATCCCCAGGACCTCCCATGCCCAATTCCCAGGACTACCATGCCCAATCCCTGGGAACTACCCATGCCCAATCCCCAGGACAACCCATGCCCAATCCCCAGGACCTCCCATGCCCAATCCCCAGGACCTCCCATGCCCAATCCCCAGGACCTCCCATGCCCAATTCCCAGGACTACCATGCCCAATCCCTGGGAACTACCCATGCCCAATCCCGAAAACTACCATGCCCAATCCCCAGAACTACCCATGCCCTACCCCCAGAACCACCCATACCCTACCCCCAGAACCACCCATGCCCTACCCCCAGGACAACCCATGCCCAACCCCCAGGACTACCCATGCCCAATCCCTAGAACTACCATGCCCTACCCCCAGGACAACCCATGCCAAACCCACAGGACCACCCATACCCTACCCCCAGGACAACCCATGCCCAACCCCCAGGACTACCCATGCCCAATCCCTAGAACTACCATGCCCTACCCCCAGGACCACCCATGCCCCATCCCCAGGACCACCCTTGGCCTACCCCCAGAACCACCCATGCCCAACCCCCAGAACCACCCATGCCCTACCCCCAGGACAACCCATGCCCAACCCCCAGAACCAACAATGCCCGATCCCCAGGACTACACATGCCCAATCCCCAGGATCCTGTATGCTCAACCTATCGCTAACTTTTGTCACAATTACATCTCATATAAGCTCTATTAACAAGCTCAGATCGTTGTGACAATGCTTAATGTAGTCACTGTCCATTGCAAAAAAGGATATTTTCAAGGAATCTTTCTTTTGCGCAGTTGTGCAGTTGCTAACTCTGATGTTTCTCCCGTTTAGCGAAGTCTTATTTAGTTGAAGGGCAAGGTCAACCGAGGACTTGTCCTGGAAATATAAATAACTATATTAAGAATATATTTGCTTATATATCCACTGCTAAATAGACATGAATGAATGAGTGTGTTTGGTTTTTGCTGCTTAAACAGTGAGTGTGATTGAGTTGGGTTTAACGCCGCTTTTAACAGTATTCCAGTTATATCGCGACATGCCAGCTTAACGTGAGAGGAAAGCCCGAAGTGATGCAGGTCTCAAACATTTACCACTTCAGTGAAACCAACGAGCACGGGTATGGTGCTGACAAACCTAGAAACATAATCGGGGCGAACCGGGATTCGAACCCACAATCATAGGTTTCTGGCGTGCCCAAGGGCACAACTTACACAGCGAATCGCGGCACCTCAGACGACTGGGCCACCCGTACCCCCTGGAACCCATGAGAAAGGGTACGGTACTGACCACCCCAGAAACAAAAGCAGGGTGAATAATGAATGTGAAGCTACTATCGAAAGTTTCTGGTTCACCTAAGGGACATAAATACCCTTAAAATGCCTCAGATGACTGGTCCAGTGCCAATTCTTAGCAGAGGAACAGTTCCAGAATCTCTCAACCTCAAGTTTATCTTTCCACAATTGTGTTATGCCCCAACTGTAGAATTTCTCCACCTTCCCTAGGATTAAAATGGCAAGGAAACATTTCTTCCATTCCATTTCACAAAATGACTAGTCCTCACTATATGTTAATGGGCCTCTGATCAGCAGAGTATTTGCCGGAACGAAGTTATGATATCCTCCACTAAGGGATGACAAGTCTATGGGCTTGTGGGTGACAAGTGAGTGAGTATGGTTTTACACTGCTTTTAGCAATATTCCAGCAATATCAAGGCGGGGGACACTAGAAATGAGCTTCCTACATTGTACCCACACGGGGAATCAAACCCAGGCCTTTGACGTGACGAGCGAACGCTTTATCTACTTGGCTACCCGACCGCCCCGGGTAGGTAAGGAGAAACAAGACATTTATCTTAAAAAGCCTCATGAAGAACTATTGCTCATTTGATCAGTTACATAAATGTGCTGTGTCAACCATGGCTTTAACATCCTTACAGCAAACAGCACATAGCCGAAGCCCTTGCCCAGTCCTGTCTGCCGGTCCCTGATGATGCGGACATTCTCAATGGCTCCACATGGTTCAAAGTGGCTCCACATCATGTTCTCCTCGATGTCTGAAAAATATATTGGTAGCAATGCATGATATTATTGTTTATTTGTTGCTTAACGCCACACTCAGCAATATTCCAGCTACATGATGGCGGTCAATGCATGATAGAATTTACAGAGTTCTCAGTGATTTTTTTTTAATCTGTATAATTTTCAATAGTGAGGAGAATGATTAAGTGATTATCATCATTTTATTTCAACTACAGAAGCCTGCAAATAATCAGTGTTTGGTAACAGGTATTCCACTTTATAATCATCTTCCCGAAGCCAGAGAGTTAACTGACTTTAAAAGTCCAGTTTCCACCCTTGCCGAACTAGGCTGGAATTACTGGGCTCCATCGTAGCGCCACCAGTGGCTATTACCAGTTATGTCCCTTCTAAGCCTCTCCTATGGACCAATCAGATTCCACCTCTCGTTTCACTTACGTTTGCTTCACACAAAATGGTGGCGCCAAGTCAGGACGATCTGATCGATAATCAAGATCTAAATTGTGATAAAAGGGGTCTTACATCGCGAAATGCATCAAATCACGTGAGCACCTTGATTAAAAACATGCAAAGATTTGGAAAATATCTGCTGACAACGAGTTGGTGGTGCACATGCTTTGCAAATCCTGCAATCGACCAAAATCTGCACGACAGTTTATGAGCTGGATTTCGATTTCGGTGTGCAATTTTGATTTGACTATGCATAGACTCGTTTGTCCAGCCAAAATGTAACTCCATAATACCAGCCTAGTTTGGCAAGGGTGGAAACTGGACTTTTATAGTCAGTTAACTCTCTTGCCTCGGGAAGATGCTTCATAATAGGTCCCCAGTACCTCATGCTTTTTGTAAGGTGAGGTGAAATGGGGTTTAACATCACGTTCAAGATGCACTTATATAGCAAAGTGTGTGTGTGGCTGCTTGTACTAGTCCAGACTGATGCTGATTTTATAGTGCTGGCCCACTGAGATACCATGCTGCGGTTTAACATGAATCCCCCACTCAGGCACAGTATACTGACTCCGAGCCGACTTGATTTAGCCCCTTAACGCCAAGCGCCAGGCATGACAACTATAAGTACCATCTTTTTGTATGACGCGGCCGGGGATAGAACCCCAAGATTCTGCTGTCTGGGCAGACACTCTACCATTAGACCACAATGGTCGCTTGTTGTAAGAGGATTTCAAAAGTGGTTGGCCCTGTGACATGGCTGATTGCCTCCCTTGTTCCCCTATGGATCGATGCTCATGCTTTCAGTCACTGGTTTGCTGGGTCTGGGCTCATTGATTTGCAGTCTGTGTTGATACTTCCCCTCACTCGCCTTCTGAGTTCAGGGTACAATATGATACACAATCGGTGGAGTCACTCGGTGGGAACACTTTGTCAGCTTTAAATTACAACCAGCAGGGGTTAATATTTAAGACCAAATTCCCCACATGGCGACAAGCATGAGGTACTGGGGACTTAATTATCACCGTAGTCCCCACATAGAGACAAGCATGGGGTACTGGGGATTTATTTATGACCAAATTCCCCAAACGGAAGCAAGCATGAGGTACTGGGGACTTAATTATCACCGAAGTCCCCACATAGAGACAAGCATGGGGTACTGGGGATTTGTTTATGACCTAATTCCCCACATGGAGGCAAGCATGGGGTACTTTGGACTTATTTATGACCAAATTCCCCACATAGAGACAAGCATGGGGTACTGGGGACTTATTTATGACCAAATTCCCCACATGGAAACAAGCATGAGGTACTGGGGACTTATTTATGACCAAATTCCCCACATGGCGACAAGCATGGGGTACTGGGGACTTATTTATGACCAAATTCCCCACATTGCGACAAGCATGGGGTATTGGGGACTTATTTATGACCAAATTCCCCACATGGAGGCAAGCATGGGGTATTGGGGACTTATTTATGACCTAATTCCCCACATGGAGACAAGCATGGGGTATTGGGGACTTATTTATGACCTAATTCCCCACATGGAGACAAGCATGGGGTATTGGGGACTTAATTATGACCAAATTCCCCACATGGCGACAAGACAAGCATGAGGTACTGGAGACTTAATTATGTCCTAATTCCCCACATGGAGACAAGCATGGGGTACTGGAGACTTATTTATGACCTAATTCCCCACATGGAGGCAAGCATGGGGTACTGGGGACTTATTTATGTCCTAATTCCCCACATGGCGACAAGCATGGGGTACTGGGGACTTATTTATGTCCTAATTCCTCACATGGCGACAAGCATGGGGTACTGGGGACTTATTTATGTCCTAATTCCCCACAAGGAGACAAGCATGGGGTACTGGGGACTTATTTATGTCCTAATTCCCCACATGGCGACAAGCTTGGGGTACTGGGGACTTATTTATGACCGAAGTCCCCACAAGGAGACAAGCATGGGGTACTGGGGACGTATTTATGACCTAATTCCCCACATGGAGGCAAGCATGGGGTATTGGGGACTTATTTATGACCTAATTCCCCACATGGAGACAAGCATGGGGTACTGGGGACTTATTTATGACCAAATTCCCCACATGGCGACAAGACAAGCATGGGGAACTGGGGACTTATTTATGTCCTAATTCCCCACATGGCGACAAGCATGGGGTACTGGGGACTTATTTTTGTCCTAATTCCCCACATGGCGACAAGCATGGGGTACTTGGGAATTATTTATGACCAAATTCCCCACATGGAGACAAGCATGGGGTACTTGGGCATTATTTATGACCAAATTCCCCACATGGAGACAAGCATGAGATACTGGGGACGTATTTATGACCAAATTCCCCACAAGGAGACAAGCATGGGGTATTGGGGACTTATTTATGACCTAATTCCCCACATGGAGACAAGCATGGGGTACTGGGGACTTATTTATGTCCTAATTCCCCACATGGGGTACTGGGGACTTAATTATGACCAAATTCCCCACATGGCGACAAGACAAGCATGAGGTACTGGAGACTTAATTATGTCCTAATTCCCCACATGGCGACAAGCATGGGGTACTGGGGACTTAATTATGTCCTAATGCCCCACATGGTGACAAGCATGGGGTACTGGGGACTTATTTATGACCTAATTCCCCACATGGAGGCAAGCATGGGGTACTGGGGACTTATTTATGACCAAATTCCCCACATGGAGGCAAGCATGGGGTACTGGGGACTTATTTATGACCTAATTCCCCACATGGAGGCAAGCATGGGGTACAGGTACTGGGGAATTATATATGACCAAATTCATTAGGCCAAGCCAAACTTACCATAGGAAAGGTTCCCGACATAAACTGAATTGTCCCTGTTGTGCTGTTAAAAGAAAACAGTGAAAGAAACAACAGTTATGTTGATACATGTTAATATTGTATTTCAAAAGAAAAACATCATTTTTTATGCCACTTCTACTTAAACAGCTGATGAACAATCATCTGACATATATATTAACAATTCAGGCAGATAACCAGTTACCATGGTAACCAAGAGGCTATTCCTTGGTTGAAATATATTTCTTGGTGAACTGATTTTTTGTGAGAAATCCTGGTTGGACATTGTGGCAATCTCAGAGACCTTAGTTCTCGCTACTGCTACACAAAGATCTGAAGACATCCCATTAGGGGTCACGCCAGAACGACCTTTTATCCGACCAATCAGAGCATCGCTTACCAGATTATGAAAGTGACAGTCGGAATGTGATTTCTATACATGCAACCTCAAAAACTTTAACACAGGGTATTCCGAACGATGGTTACGGGTTTAACGACTGAAACCATACAATCTAGACCATCTATTAGCCATTCCAGAATGTTCTTTGTTCAGGTTTCAAATTTGTAATCGAGAATTTGTCAAAATATGTTTCAAAGAGTAGTCGCCAATTTGAAATTAGTGCCGTAAAGCAAGAGAAAGCTGCCTTCTGATTGGTCATTCCATTGGTCGGTTAAAGTTCCCGCAAGGCCGGTCTGATGTGAACCGTAACGGGATGTCCTCAGATCTTTGTTTAGCGGTAGCTTTAATAAGCTGCCCCCAAACCAGGGTTGATAACGTAGGAAGTTGGCTACCCACATAGGTACGAGGGGCGTTCAATAAGTTTTGCAACTTCAATATAAGACCAAGTCGCAGAATATCTTTTGCACTTTTATTTTTCAATATAATCTCCATTCACCTCAAAACACTTATTCCATTTGTCCTTCAAGCTTTTAATACCACTTTTATAGAAATCTGCAGATTGGCCCTCTAACCACGCCTCTTTGGCAGCCTTTATGTCTTCGTCATCCTGGGAGCGTCTTCCACGTACGGCGGAACTCATTTGCCAGAACAGGAAATAGTCCTTGGGGGCTAAGTCTGGGCTGTACAGTTAAATCACCCACCCTACAACCCAGACTTAGCCCCCAGTGATTATTTCCTCTTCTGCCAAATGAAATCTACCCTACATGGAAGACAAATCCAACAAGAGTTTGCCACTAACGTGGCTATATCCCCCGCCCCTGTTGCAGAATTTATGACATAATTAAATCTAAACAAATCCTAACACTTTTTAACCGAGGTGGAACCTGACATGGAAATTGTATAAAAAAAAGAAGAGTTTGGAACCAAAGTCCATCCTGTTGCCATGGAAACGTAAAAAAAAAAAAATTCTAAAATTTCTAAACAGCAAAAGGCACCAGTTCAGCATGTACTTGACAGACCTGCAAAGTTTCATGAAAAAATATTGAACAGTTTCTGAGTTATGCTCCGTAAACGAAACGTGACGGACGGACCCCGTTTCTATATCCCCCCGCCAACTTTGTTGGGCTGTGGATAATAAGTGTAGTGAGGTGAATGGAGATTATATTGAAAAATAAAAGTGCAAAAGATATTCTACGACTTGGTCTCATATGAGCATACTTACTTTCTTGTTGTTAGATGAAACATCAACTCGTAAGTGGTACCCATTTAATTCATGGCCATTTCTGTAACAAGTAGGAAGCAAGAACTCGTGTATGGCAATATGATGACATTTTCAGACAAAACCAGGGATTTATCTACACCAGCTCAAAGTCCGATATTTGGCCCCAGGGCCCACTTGCACAAAACGATCTTAGCGCTAAGACCATTGTAAGCCTATGTTAAAGTATGGGAGTTACGATCATCATAACGCTAAGATCGCTTTGTGCAAGTGGGTCCAGGTCTGCAGCAAATGACTGCAAAAAAAAATCTAAATTGAATCTAAACTTCCCCAGAACTTACCATGCTTACGAAAAAATAAGAACATTTCAAAAATCCAATTTTGAACAATATCACAATTTATTTTTTCCAATTTGCCAACCAAGGGCCCTTTAAAATAGCTTGGATTCCAAGATAAAAGCCTGTGAATTTAAATAGCTAGATCACTAAAATCTTCTGTATGTATTGTAATCACATATTTTCCTATCTTCATCCACCACAAATGAACACTGAATATTCTGGTATCACTTGTGATTCACTCGGATATGGCCGGACAAACCAGTGGTTGATAGCATGAGGAAATATCCATGGTTGCCATGGTATTCCCACAATGTAACCTCCCAATCACCATTTCACTTATTTCTGTTGACAAGATAGGCTAACCAGTGAGCAATCCTCATCCTCATCAACAAGTGTGAACCACCTGCCAAAAGCATCATTGTAATCTTTTCAAATATTTCATGCATTGGTCTTGTCATATTCTTTACTAAATGAGTTTTTTAAGAGAAAATTATGGACACAATACTTCTCCCACTTCAAACCATTACTAAGATACCCAGTTACAGCCAATGCCTGTGTGAGAGTGTTTGAGTCTTAGAACTTGGCGCTAGCATACCATAACAAATATGACTTTTAACGAGTCAAAGTATGGCATTTATGATACACGTATCCATTCTCTGTCAACTAAAGTTTGTTGCAAGGTGTCAATAGCGGTAATCTGACCGTGGTTGCTGTTAATAACGGTGAGTTGTGCGATCGGAAGATCGCTTCACAAACAGTTTCGCCGAAATTAATTAAAACATTAGTAAAAGTAATTTTGAATAAAATTAATGAAATAAGTTACAAACATAAGTCCAGATATACAAAGAAACTTTTTATAGCCAGACAGTGTTATTACATGATGATTTTGCGTACTTCAGTATGGATTTGTTCACATGGTATTTCCGGTGTTACGTGCTCACGGTAATATCTTTCCATGGGGGAAAAACCCATCAAAACTCATTATTTCGTGTATAATGCACACCCCCTTCTACACAGATGAGTTTTTTGGAAAAAAAGTGTGCACTATACTCAAGAAAATACGGTAATTACTATGGACGATTTATTAGCTCAGCTTTCATAGACCAAAAGGTATATAGACTCTGGCATCAGACTAGTGGATTAAAATACTAACAACAATGTATGAGAAACAAAACTCACAATTTCAGTGCCTTCTTCGCAGCCGTTTCATCCTCAAAGCACACGTAACATACAATATTACTTCTGTTTGGGTGAAAACTTTTCCTGCAAGTAAAGCGAAATATTCTCTGTACAACCATAGCTTGGTTGGGTGGTTGGTTGTTTAACGCCGCACTCAGCAATATTCCAGCTATATGATGGCGGTCTGGAAATAATCCAGTCTGGACCAGACAATCCAGTGATTGACATCATGAGCATCAATCCACGCAATTGGGATCGATGACATGCATCAACCAAGTCAGCGAGCCTGACCACCCGATCCTGTTAGTCGCCTTTTACAACAAGCATAGTCGCATTTTACGGCAAGCATGGGTTGCTGAAGACCTGTTCTACCCCGATCTTCACGGGTCTTTAACAGAATGAAAACAGATGTGTACTGGCAACATGAGTGGAGTGGAGTGGAGTGGAGTGGAGTGGAGTGGAGTGGAGTGGAGAGGAGCAGAGCGAGTGGAGTTCCCGGATCGACCCTGGCGCCACTTCGAGTAGATTATGAGTTGTGCCTCTTGAAATGAAAACGCGATATCCAATCAGATCGCTGTTCTTATCTCGTATAGCTTCACAAAGATGTCAACTACCATAGGCAACAACTTAGTCAATCAGTTAAACAAAAACATTCGCGATTTTATCCCTGACACAAAAACATACGGGGACTTAAAGAAGAAAAAACATATTCGTGTCAACAAAGACAGGCAGCTGTAAATCACTTTCATACGAATGTGTACCAGTCGTGGATGTTGATTTTATTAAATTTTCTCTAATTGGACTATCACACATATGGATAGTCCAATCATATTTAGCACAGGAAAGTGGGCTTGATATGGAAAGGTTTGAAACAAGACCTTGATGAAAAGTCTAGTGGACGCTCTTGCCTCGGGAAGATGGGTCTTACCCTGCATTTATTAAAATTCCAACAATATCACGGAGGGAGACATAAAAAAATGACTTCACATTGTACCCATGAGTGGAACGAACCCAGGCATTGCCATGACCACAGACCACATTAACTACAAGGCAACTCCATCACCCAGCCAGGCAACTAAAAAGGTTCTTGCTATCAACCAGTGTGCTTAATTTACATGACTGGTTAATTGAGGTTAGTTCTAATGCAGTGATCCCGTTTACCGGTTATTACCAGTTTATTACCGGTAAAATTAGGCTTGGACCGGTAATTCATGTGACTGCCAGTCCCTGTGGACCGGCAAATAAAGTACCTTATAAATCTTTGTTGTTGAACAAAACATCGGCGATATTCATAAAAGTATATTTTTCGAATGAAGTCAGCTTGTCTGTCACCATCAGGGTTTCCCCGTGTCAATTTTAGTGCAAGGAAATAACATTTTGCCTTGCTTCAAGGTTAAATATGCATTTTTAGCGACTAAGTGTAAAAATAGTTTTAAAAAGGAGAAATTTGTGACTTGTGTGAATGACATGTAGATCTAACTTAGTAACTGCAAAGATGACGTCATTGCACTGAACATAATGTCGAAGGAATTAAAACCAGGTAATTTTCAAACGCTTTTTTATTTGTTGAAAGTTGGGAATGACAAAAATTAGTGGGGACTGGTAATTTTTAGAGTTTCCAGTCCACCAAGCCTGGCAATTTCCAAGGTGAGGTGAAATTGGGTTTAACGTCGCGTCCAAGATTATTGCACTTATATAGCGACGTGCATGCACGTGTATGTGTGTGTGTGGCTGCTTGTACTAGTCCGGACTGATGCCGATTTATAGTGCTAGCTCACTGAGATACCATGCCGCAGTTTAACATGAATACCCCACTCAGACACAGTATACTGACTCCGAGCCGGACAGGGTAACAACAAGTACCATCTTTTAACGTCTTTTGGATGACGCGGCCCGGGATCGAACCCTGGACCTTCCGCTCTCCGGGCGGACGCTCTACCACAAGACCACGGAGGCGGTCGGCAATTTCCAAAGCTAGCGGGAACACTGGAATGGCAACATTAGATTGAGCATCATGTGTTGTAATGGGTGGTAAGGTACTGCCAGCCCATTGTTTCAATTAACTGCTGGTAATGACAGGTGAACAGCAAAGCATAATTTGAGCTACTTTGCATTATTTCTTAATTAGTTGATTTGAGTCAAATACGACCTCAGTCTCTGATTCACGACTTTCAAAAATACTTACTTAATGAAGGTGACTTTCTTGGAAACCTTTGGGTCAGAAATAGGCTGAAGAAGAAAAAAGACATAGTGATAAACAGGATAATACTAAGAACTGATGATCCTGCTTGAATCTTAAACAGCCCATCTACAAAAGCCTATGACAGCTTATATAAAAGGGGAAGTGTACACGCAAAAATCACTTTCTTTCTTTTTCTAAACAAAACGCAATTTTAGAATTAGTTAGTATCTGTGTTTGAAAATATAAACTCATTTTTTTCACAGTGAAAGCAGGAAGCTCCCAATAGTGTGAAAATGATATGCCGTTATGAGGCCTTCGTTTTTCGAGCTAAACAGGCCTGAGTTATCCCCCTTAGATTATGACGTAATTGGTGCCAATTCAACTGGGTCCCTGTCTATTCTCAACGCAAAAGATATCAAGTACCAGTTTGCGGTAAAACAACATGGCCTACGACACGTTCCGGCGCAGTGGTGACTCAGCATAACGCTCTAACAAAGCATGATGACATCATAATGTTTATCAATTGGCACCAATGACGTCATATTGCAAGGGGCATAAGGCATGGTGTTTTTGATATGGAAATAGAACACTTGGTAAATGTGAAAAATATAAATCGTTTTAATGCAAAAATATGTTAATTAATTGTGATATTTTTATATTTTTGTCTATGAACTTGCCCTTTAACATTCACTACTGTTTTATCTTACTGTTCTCAACTGTGTAACACAAAGCAAGGTATACTTACTGGGCATCGGTATCGAACGCTTTGAATCGTGCCGTACTCTGCAAACAGGGCCTTTATAGCCTGAAAAAAATATATACCCCGTATTGTCAGCTGTGTTCAATACTAAGCCTGAAAGTCATGGGGTTATTGTCATAACCCGATCTCATGAAAATCAGATCTTAGTTCTCGCTATCGCTAAACAAAGATCAGCAAGAGTGTAGCATACAGTTGCTTAGCTAATCAGTTTGTATATTTGTTCCAGTTTGTTAATCAGAGATCATTGTCAGAGTTAATTGGGTTCTTGATCCTTTTAAGATTGCCTCTAATTAGTTACAAAGAGCTGATAGTAATAAAACTATGAACTTTTACCATGTTTTTCTATCATTTATTCTTATTTAATGAGGGGGCTTGGGCGACCCAGTCGCCTTAAGGCGCCTTTGACAAAGGGCAGTTACTCTAGCAGACAGACCGATGGCTTGCCGTGAAAGGCAAGTCAAAACAATTGTTGTTTTGTGTACATGTTGCTTCGCCACTGTATAAGAAACAGATTTCAGTTGGAACTATATTGGCTACTGTCACTTACCCTGTGACGTAATAAATAAATATCATTCCAAGAGTGAGTGAGTGATTGAGTTTGGTTTTACGCCGCTTTTAGCAATATTCCAGCAATATCACGGCGGGGGACACCAGAATTGGGCTTCACACATTGTACCCATGTCGGGATTCAAACCCGGGCCTTCAGCGTGACGAGCGAACGCTATAACCACTAGGCTACCCGACCGCCCCCGCACATTCCAAGAAAACTCACAATGTTTCGGTAATTTTTGTGAGAGAGGGAAAGCAATTTTGAAGCACAGAATTAAAGAATGACATTATATTATAAAGAGGTTATCACGCTTGTGTCTTTGGGGATGGTAAATATCCTGTATCAGGCATAAACACTAAGCCAAGGCTCGCTAAATACAATGTTTATTCCTATAAGGATATTTACCATCCCCAAACACACTCGTGTGATAACCTCTAATGAAACTCAGAGTTGCGGACTATCTGTCTGAATTATGTTATTCCATTGCCGAAGGGTCAAAATCAACACCATTTATTCACTCGGGACATATAAACTGTACTTATTCGTAGCTCGATGATTTGAGTTAGCTCCCAAAAATCCCCATGGCTTGCATGAATCTGGTACTCAAACCAGTGACCAGCTGATCCTTGCAGTAACAAGGGAGTTAACTCCATCCAATGAGTGAGTGAGTGAGTGAGTTAGGTTTAACGCCACTTTTAACAGTATTCCAGTTATATCGCGGCGTGTCAGCTTAATGTGGGAGGAAAGCCCGAAGTGATGCAGGTCTCAGACGTTTACCACTTCGGTGAAACCCACGAGCACGGGTATGGTGCTGACAAACCTAGAAACATAATAGGGGCGAACCGGGATTCGAACCCACAATCATAGGTTTCTGGCGTGTCCAAGGGACGCAACTCTGCACAGCGAATCGCGGCACCTCAATCCATCCAATGAATTGTGATGCTTTACATAAGCGTTGCACCCTCACCCTCACCCTCACCCCCATCCCCCTGCCCACCTCCCACACATCAGTGTGGCTGTCATTGTCTGGTGTCTGACTGCCAGTTTGGAAGGACTAAGTCCACCCTCAAACTGCACTGTCTGTTACAAATAACTCAACTGCTTTCTTGGCATCAAGGGGGAGGTTCCCAATGAAGACTGTCCTCTTGTCTTTTGTTTTATCTCTCTTGTACTTAGTTCTTCTCTTCTTGGGAGCTGTTTCATTTTCTTCATCAGAATCGTCCTCCTTCTTCCTCTTCTTCTGTTTTCTGGAAAAGCCGTAACATCCACAATCATAGAAACGGACAGTTCCGAATGTAAATAACAAAGGTTGTGTCATCGTATTGTTGTGGATATTTAATACATCCTATAATTTGTGACTGCCATGGCATCTACATCCAACAGGGAGAACCATCGAGGGAGTATTTGACATCTGTGTGGGTTTTCTTTTGTAAAAAGGACAATTTCGGAATAGAGGAGGTGAACAAATGAAGACGTATAGAATCATGTTATTGACTCAAGAACCCACGCATCCTTCACTTAGAGAAAACTCCAAACGTCTTCTCATTCAAATTGGTTTAAGCGCCCCTTGACAACATATTCAAGATACCCAATTGATGCTCACTGTTTTTTTGGCTCCTCTGAATTTTCCGTCAAAGATTCATGCACGATTCCGTCAGGAGGACAGAATCCCTCTTCTTTTGTCTTCTCCTTCTTTTTCTTCTTCTTCTTCTCCTTCTTTCCTGCTTCCTTGGGCTTCTTTTCTTCAATACTTGGACTTGCCTTCTAAAACAAAACAAATAGAGGAACATGAAACCATATTTATATATCTTTCAAACCAAACATTCCTGTGACTTTCTGATCATGCTGCCCTTGTGACTGACTGATCTTAAGAAGAGGTGAGGTGAAATGGGGTTTAATGTCGCGTCCAAGATTATTGCACTTATATAGCGACGTGCATGTACGTGTGTGTGTGTGCTTGTACTAGTCCGGACTGATGCCGATTTATAGAGCTAGCTTACTGAGATACCATGTGGCAGTTTAACATGAATACCCCACTCAGACACAGTATACTGACTACGAGCCGACCAGTCCTTGTTTTAGCCCCTTAATGCCGAGCGCCAGACAGGGTAACAACAAGTACCATCTTTTAACGTCTTTTGGTATGACGCGGTCGGGGATCGAACCCCGGACCTTCCGCTCTCCGGGCGGACGCTCTACCACTAGACCACGGAGGCGGTCATCTTAAGAAGAGTGAGTGAATATTGTTTTACACTGCACTCAGCAATATTCCAACTTCATAGGCCTGTAAAGAATAGTGGGTCAGAACTAGAGAAACTGGCATTCAGTTACAAAGGAGTAGTCGGAGCATGATGAACAAAGCAAAGCCATTGAGTGAGTGAGTGAGTGAGGTTTTATGCCGCTTTTAGCAATATTCCAGCAATATCACGCCGGGGGACACCAGAAATGGACTTCACACATTGTACCCATGTCGGGAATCGAACCTGGGTCTTCGGCGTGACGAGCTAACGCTTTAACCACTGAGCTACCTGACCGCCCCATATTGAGTGAGTGAGTATGGTTTTATGCCGTATAGCAATATTCTGGCAATATCATGGCAGGAGACACCAGAAATGTGCAGCATGCCATCGGCTTACTGTGAGTGAGTGAGTGAGTTGGGTTTAACGCCGCTTTTAACAGTATTCCAGTCATATCACAGCGTGTCAGCTTAATGTGGGAGAAAAGCCCGAAGTGATGCAGGTCTCAGATGTTTACCACTTCAGTGAAACCCACGAGCATGGGTATGTGGCTGACAAACCTAGAAACATAATCGGGGCGAACCAGGATTCGAACCCAAAATCATAGGTTTCTGGCGTGCCTAAGGGACACAACTCTGCAAAGCGAATTGTGGCGCCCCATATGACTGGGCCACCCGTGCCCCCCTCGGTTTACTGTGACACACAATCAACCAAGTCACACAATGTAACAACCAGATCCTCAGCAGTTGACTTTATGTCAAGTTTACAACGAGCATAGGGGTAATGAGGTCCTATTCTATCCCCAGAATACCAGTTGGGTTATATTGGTATATTGCACATTACACCACATTCATGTTTGGAAACACCATGTACACATTCATGTTTGGAAATACCACATACACATTCATGTTTGGAAACACCACAAACACATTCATGTTTGGAAACACCACGTACACATTCATGTTTGGAAACACCATGTACACATTCATGTTTGGAAATACCACATACACATTCATGTTTGGAAACACCACAAACACATTCATGTTTGGAAACACCACGTACACATTCATGTTTGGAAACACCATGTACACATTCATGTTTGGAAATACCACATACACATTCATGTTTGGAAACACCACGAACACATTCATGTTTGGAAATACCACATACACATTCATGTTTGGAAACACCACAAACACATTCATGTTTGGAAACACCATTTACACATTCATGTTTGGAAACACCACGCACACATTCATGTTTGGAAACACCATGTACACATTCATGTTTGGAAACACCACAAACACATTCATGTTTGGAAACACCATGTACACATTCATGTTTGGAAACACCACAAACACATTCATGTTTGGAAACACCATGTACACATTCATGTTTGGAAACACCACAAACACATTCATGTTTGGAAACACCACAAACACATTCATGTTTGGAAACACCATTTACACATTCATGTTTGGAAACACCACGAACACATTCATGTTTGGAAACACCACGTACACATTCATGTTTGGAAACACCACGTACACATTCATGTTTGGAAACACCACGAACACATTCATGTTTGGAAACACCACGAACACATTCATGTTTGGAAACACCACGTACACATTCATGTTTGGAAACACCATGTACACATTCATGTTTGGAAACACCATTTACACATTCATGTTTGGAAACACCACGTACACATTCATGTTTGGAAACACAACGTACACATTCATGTTTGGAAACACCATGTACACATTCATGTTTGGAAACACCACTTTCAACAGTTATAACACAGCATGTCCAACAAGATGCAGGTCTTAGACAATTACCACTTTGGTAAAACCCTCAAGAAAGGCTATGGTGGTAACAAACAAAGAATATTAATCAGGGTGAATCTGTGATTTAAACCAACAATCACAGGACTATGCACCCATAAAATGCATGAGGGACCCAACTTTGAATAACAAATTGTGAACGTAACCCTGTGAGCGTACCAGGACTGAAACTGTGAGAGTTACCTTTTCTTGTTTCACATCTTTTTCCGTCTTTATTTCAGTTTTAACAGACTCTATAGTCTTTGATCTTTTTAACTTTTTCGCTTTCTTCTCTGGGGTAGGCTTTCCTTTTTTCTTAAAGTCAATCTTTTCTTTTGTCTTGACATCAAACAGAGCGGCAAGTTTGGTTTTTTGGGGGGTCACCGGTTCTGATTTGATCTTCTTTCCTCCAAGCAAATCAGCAACTTGGCCCACAAAATATTTATTGTCTGCCATTTGTTTCCTGTTGATCAAAGATGTACATGTATATAGATATAAGTCTTTGAGTTGATAAACATAATAAAGATACAATGTTATTGCTCCAATTTTTACATTAAGCTGATAATGGTGAAGATTTGAAGAGGATGCTGACAGGTTTCATCTATGTATTTTACAAATGAATAATCTGGCTAGGCCATTTCCCTGATTACAGTGGGAAACTGAAAGTGGATTGAAATGTATTATAACATCAAGCGAATGTTCATCTAGATGCCAGTGAGCGTAGCCTTAAGCCTCCATCATGCCTTATTATGTCGGCTGCAAATCACAACGTGTTTGATCTATTTTAAACCCCGGATAATAATTGAATTTCACAAATTTGTGAAATATATTTACATCTAACCGACATCTGCTAATTTCCACCCCTACCGTACTTCAGACATGTTTCTGAAAATGTATAAAAGAATCATGCTTTTCAATACGTTTTAACATACATTACTTATGGCCAGTGGATCATACAACACAATCTTCTGATCGTAACAGGCGGTTTTTTTCCAAAACTACCTTCCAGTCAGAACATTACCAAAACATACACACGTGCAATCAAGTCGGTAAGAGTTGCCGTTCTTTTGAAAGGGAGGTAACTCTATAATTGTCACTCTTGACTAGGCCCCTGTCTTACTAAACGACTGCGTACATTCACAGTAGAACTCGTTTTATCTCACTCGCACTGCTGGCGCCCGGTAAATGTCATGGCTATAAAATGTAGATAGCCCGACTGCCTAGCTTAATTTTCTGTCTAGCGAGCTGTAATATATAAACCTTCCTCCCCCATCTAGAAAAATAATACTTTAATAATATTTTCTCACTCGATCTCTGCTACCAAATTTCTCCTTGTATTATGTAGCATTAAAAAAACCTGGCTAATTAAATTTGGAATTTGCTCGTAATTTTCTATTTCAATTTTAAAATTATTTAACACTGAATGCATCAGACATTATTCTTTATACAAGAACAGGCTGACAATGGGGAGTCTATTTTGACTTACATATAGACGTCTGACAACTACATCGTGAATGGAAGCCCCCTCACCCCTTCCCCCCTCCACCCCCCACCTCACACACACAGACACACCACCACCAATTATCCATTGGCCATTATCCCCAAACACAGGACCTCGTAAATAATAATAACAATAATAATAATAATAATAATAATAATAAACAAACTCGCAAAAAACTCGTCTGCGAGTTTGTTTGTTATTATTATTATTATTATTATTATTATTATTATTATTATTGTTATTATTAGTTACATGGTCCTGTAGTTAGATCTACTAGGGTGACCTATATTCACCGGGTGCAGGAGAAAATGGACCCAGACAATTCGGTGAAAATGACCCGAGCGTGTGGAGAAAATGGACCCAGATATTGAAAACAAACCTAACTCAAATTCGTAGTGGTTTGGTATATTTATTGTCAAGAAATTAAATTTATTGTTAAGCTATTCTGCACATGTCTTTGTGTCACGTGGTCTCTGTCACAATGGCACGTGGACTCCACCTTCAGAATCAGGAAAGAGAATATGGCACATTTCAGTTTGACTATTTATGTAGTAGAAAACAAACATATTATGAAAACAAATCTAGTAATTTGTTTTCACAACAATTAAACATTTGTTTTTGTTTTCAAGGAACATGGGGTATCAAGTTGACACAACCATAGTGGTATACATGATACTGTTGACATTGATATATATACAGTGGTAAAGTTATTAATATTTTTTCATAATTTATCTTTTCAAAGTAATAGCTACAATGTTATAATACTATTTTATAATGAAGTAGATCTGCACATGGGGTCATGCACACATTGTTAAAATTGAAACCCTCCCTAATGGTAAAACGTTTACTTCTGTAGCCTGACACGTCATTTATTCACACTGTCCAAAAGTGCTAATATCTCGCTACACAGAAATTGGCTCAACGTTTTCGCATAGCGATATGCTATAGGGCTGTCCCCGATCCTCTCGACAGCCCGACCTCGCTACACGGAAATGAGTGTACGTTTCCATATGTTGTAGGCCTGTTCCTGCCCCTCTCGACAGACAGACCTCGCTACACGGCAATGGGTCAAAGATATGCTGTATGGGGAAATAGGTCCGATAGAGCTTGACTGGTACCCTGTCCTTCGCCTCCTAACGGCTACAGGCGGGGAGCTCAAGCGCTCTAGGGCAGGTAAACCAGTCTAGGACAGGGCGTGGCTTCTTCTTATGATTGTTGCCGAATAACATAGACATGTTTAGTGTAATAATTTACATTTAGGAATGTTTAAAAACATATTTTGATAAAGTTTCTTTTAAAAGTTTGGTTACATCTTTCCAACTTTTACTCATTACCATGTAACTTTCTCAAACTGGCCGCGTCATACCAAAAGACGTTAAAAGATGTACTTGTTGTCATCCTGTCTGGCGCTCGGCATTAAGGGGCAAAAACAAGGACTGGTCGGCTCGGAGTCAGTATACTGTGTCTGAGTGGGGTATTCATGTTAACCCTATTCTGACCCGGATCTTCACGGGTACCTGGGTGAATGAATTCATGTTTACTGGTGAAGCCAACTATCTAGATTAATATAAAAGCAAATCTAGCCAGCTCGGGAAAATTATTTGTTTTAATTTTAGAGGAGAGAAACGTATTTTGTAATATAAGATTTCATAGACCTATATGTTATCTACCTTAACTATTATGATGAGCGATGTGAAAGTTCCTCCGAATTGGCTGAAAACGGAGATGTTTCACGGTGCCAGTTGTTATTCCTGGCCCCCATTCCCCAAAACGATTTCAGCGATAAGACGATCGTAGCTCCCATACCTTAACATAAACTTACGGCAGGTCGTAGCGCTAAGATCGCTTTGTGGAACGAGCCCCTGGTCCAAGCTAAGCATACTGTATGTTTAGGCCTGTAGTCTGATACGCGGTCGGGTAAACTAGTGGTTAAAGAGTTCGCTCGTCACGCCGAAGACCCGGATGGTTCGATTCCCGACATGGGTACAATGTGTGAAGCCCATTTCTGGTGCCCCCCGCCGTGATATTGCTGGAATATTGCTAAATGTGACGTAAAACCATACTCACTCACTGACCTGTAGTCTGACACGTCAAATATTCACGCTGTCCTACACGGAAACTGGGTCAAGGTTTCACGCCTTTCCCCGTGACAGATCTTGTCTCCCTTTGATCATTGTCCAGGACAAACACACATTTTTCGTGTATGAATTACAGGTTTCTTTTAACAAATATTCTCATAATAATTTATGTATCTCGTATGTTTGTTTGTTTCTTGGTTAACGCCGCACTCAGCAATATTCCGGCGATATGACGGCGGTCTGTAAATAATCGAGTCTGGACCAGACAATCCAGTGATTGACATCATGAGCACTATATATGTGTGAGACAAAGATAAAGTTTCTTATAAATTGTTGTTTACGTGTTTCCAACGATTACTCATTCCCATGTGCCCATTTAATTTTCTCAAACCCATAACAAATAAGATATAATAAATATCTCAAAAGAACATTGAAGGACTGCACCTCCCTAACCCACGTGCCCAATAACGTGATCTCGTGAGATCGATGTCGCCATGGTGACTGTTTTCAGTTCAAACGACGCCATTGTTGTTGTCAGTTTACAGTTACAAATCACGTCTCTTGTACTGTTTTCTCTTGCCCATCATTGTTCTATTCTCCATCATGTTTGCGAATGTTGCAAGCGTGTTTCACCAAGGTATATTATCAGCATTTTTTTATGTTCCGCTTTGATTGATTTTAGACTTTTTGGGGCATTGCATTTCCCTTGGTATGAACTGAAGAAGTTTTGTTGATAGGGCCATTCTCGACCTGAGTACCATCGATATGTACGGTTACAAATACATCATATTAGTGTGGTCTTTGGTTACCTCACGTCCACATCCTTCCAAATTTGATTGGGCCCCTTTTTTATTATCTCGTTGCTTTTGTTAACTTGATTCACTCACAGATAAGTCATCAGAAGGCCACAAAAACAAGGCTCAAATTCTAAACCCCTGGGTGCCTATGGGTTAATACTCCCCACGATTGCGTAAAACAATAAACGTATTTTATGTCTGTGATTTTATGTCTGTCAGTTGATCATTTGTGTGCGCATGTATACATATTTTTGTTCCTCGCTATCACAGCACGGGATGAGGTGAACCGCATGCAGAGGCACAGCCTGGCTCTCTCCCACCCTGACACTCCCGTCCCCCTTCCAGTAGGTCATCATGTTTAGTGTTGTCAGGGAGTTAGTTGACACTGATGTTTTCTGACCAAATGCCTCGTCAGTTTCTGATACATTTCAACAAGAAGGACAGTGACATGTTTCGGTTTCGAGTTTTATTCTTAAGCATCATACTATGGTCACCGTCGTTATGTATCCAATGTGTGCCTTTACAGAACTTTTTCCTCCTCTGTTTTACCCTGTTCCTTTACCCCACTCTTAGCCATAATGCTGATGCTAACTCTTATCTTTTACTAATGTCGTTTTCAAAACGCTACACAAAATTATAGTCAATCATATCAAAGAGCTATTCATGCATGGTTTCAATTTCATTCTTTCTCAGCACATGTTCTTTCTCCGATAGAGATACCATTAATGCACTTAACTTTGCTCCGAAACAACCACTTTTCACCCTTTTCTCTTTCCACCATAGGACCCCACCCATCGATTCAACTCCCATCCGCTAGCAGCCCCACCCGTCACCCTAACTTCTGTTTCCGACCCATCCCTCCAGTCCTCAGCTGTGTCCCTGGTCTCTGCCGAGTGTGTTGCCATTGATCTGGGCGATCCAGTACACTCCCTCAGGCTGCCTTCAGTGATTGAGACAAGCAAGCCAGTAGAAATACCATCTCCATGTCAAGACATTGATCTAGGCGATCCCACAACATCCCAGCATCCAGTAGAATCACCACTGCCCTGCATTGTGATTGACATTAGCGACACTGAGCTCCAGGATACACAGCAAACCCAGTCATTCGCCGGATCATGCTTCTACTCGGTGCTTAATTTCGTAAAAGGATTGTTTTCTTTCTTTTAATAACAATCCCAACATAAATACAGCAATAGACAGCAGCAGCAATGGACATAAATTGTGATGTTTTAAAATATGATTTAACATCTAGGACTATTTTGGATATTTTAAACATATGATTTATTAAACTTTTGTCCAGTTGTCCCTATGTGTTTATTTGATTATGTTTGTGTTCTGTTTTCAATTGGTTTTTTATAAACTGTTTGTTTCTGTTCACTCATGCTTTGTCTTTTTTTATTTTTGTAATTACAACACCTTCCTAATAAAGTAACTATAACTTGAAATATACATTACCTACCATGTTACCATAACAACCACTGTGACACCCAATTATTCAAATACATCATACACAAAAAATCCTCGATTCTTCGAAGAATCAACACGGCCCCAAAACGCCCTCTGTGGGGTATCGGCACAAAACTTAGGAGATGGAGAAAGAGCGGAATACCAAATAAAATATGGCACATTAAATCATTTACATGACAACATAAGTCCCTCCAATAAGTTCTTATCTCCCCTTTCGTGTATTATCTCCCTTTATCAAGGCCACTTCTTCAGATGACGGTGGACGAGTGCAAAAGACGTAAATCTGAATTTTGACAAGTTAAATGTGCGTGAATCATGGAGAATACGTTTCAGGGAAGAAGTTGGATTTGATTTTGCGAGCCAAAGGTGTAAGTGATATGACATTAGCGACACTGAGCTCGAGGATACACAGCAAACCCAGTCATTCGTTGGATCATGCTTCTACTCGGTGCTTAATTTTGTAAAAGGATTATTTTCTTTCTTTTAATAACAAACCCAACATAAATACAACAATGGACAGCAGCAGCAATGGACATAAATTGTGATGTTCTAAAATATGATTTAACATCTTAGACTATTTGGGATATTTTTAATATATGATTTATTAAACTTTTGTCCAGTTGTCCCTATGTGTTTATTTGATCATGTTTGTTTTGTGTTTTCATTTGGGTTTTTTTATAAACTGTTTGTTTCTGTTAGTTAAATCCTGCTTTGTCTTTTTTATTTTTGTAATTACAACACCTTCCTAATAAAGTAACTATAACTTAAAATATACATTACCTACCATGTTAACATAACAACCACTGTGACACCAATTATTCAAGTACATAATACACAAAAATCCTTGATTCAAAGCATCAACATGCCCCAAAACGCCCTCTGTGGGACATCGGCACCTAAACTTAGGAGAGACGGAGAAAGAGCGGAATAAAAAATAAAGTATGGCACATTAAATCATTTACATGACAACATAAGTCCCTCCAATAAGTTCTTATCTCCCCTTTCGTGTATTATCTCCCTTTATCAAGGCCACTTCTGGAAATAATGGTGGACGAGAGCAAAAGACGGTTGACAAGTTAAATGCACGTGAATCATGGAGAATACGTTTCAGGGAAGAAGTTGGATTTGATTTTGCGTGCCAAAGATGAAAGTGATATTGGCAAACGGGCCCAAGCAACGCTGAACGTCAGTTGAAAGCTAATGTTTTCTATGAAAATAGACACGTCCATACAATCCAATATCACCTTATATCCAAGGACTTTTTGCATTGTTATGTCAGTGCCAAGGCGATCCCTTCAATACCAACACAGAACATGAAAAAAAAGGATTATGGTGTGTGGGTGTCCCTGTCGAAGGTTACTGGCCGAGTACATGCTGCTTGATGCAACTGTACTGCATGGTAAAAATATCTACTACATTACCATAAAATCGTAGCCCTAAGGTGTCAATGTCCTTTGCATTTGTTGAAAAGTACCTAAACTAGTGTATGTATGATTGTTCTGCAATTGAATGAATTTTGCAAAACATTACCAAATAACAATATTGCATTTTCACTGTGCAATATACCTATATAGTGAGTGAGTGAGTGAATATTGTTTTAAGCCGCTTTTAGCAATATTCCAGCAATATTCCAGCAATATCACGGCGGGGAACACCAGAAATGGGGTTCACACATTGTACCCATGTAGGGAATCGAACCCGGGTCTTCGGCGTGATGAGCGAACGCTTTAACCACTAGGCTACCAGACCGCCCCAAATGGGCCAGTATACCTATATACATGTACATGGTATGAGGTTTTAATATATAGCAACATTTTATTCATCCTACATCATTGTGTTATGCAACTTAAACTTTTGGATATGGAATTAGATGTTTTTATTCATTTTTAATTTAACAATTGGTGAACTATGTATCTGTTTCAGTGAAGGTGAATCCTGCGACCTTGGTGCTGCTGTCCCTTATGCCTTAGTTGACATCTCAGAAAAGAAACTTGATGGATTACATGCATCTACTTCAAAGGAATGCAAATGGAACCAGCCCAGAAAAAGCAAATTGAGCCTAGTTAAATTACGTGATATGACAATCACAAAACACAAGTGGACAGAACATAAAAAGATACCAACGATTTCAAAGCAAGATGCTACTTATGCAAGTTGTATATCAACTGTAAACCAATAAATGTGGATAGATTTGCTGCAAAACTTTGTGAAAGTGCTCAACATGCAGGGTTGTTACTGACTCAAGAGTCTGTTGTCAGTATGGCTGAAGAAACAGATGTAACAGTACCTTCCCTTCACTCAAGTCATTTACAACTATGCAGACACCTGTGATTTGAAAAGTGAGGAGTGTGGCAGACATTTTTCACAGTATTTCAGTAAATTGTGCCTCTCAGAAGAAGATTGTGTTCTTATCGAGAAGAACACACGTGGAAAAGCAAACAATGAATTGTGGAGCTCAGCAAGGGAAGGCCGATTAACCTTCCAATTTTGGACTTGTTTGTCAACTGAAACCATCTGATACCCACCCCTGATAATGCACTTAAGACCATTTTTTTTATATTTATCATTCGATAATGGAGGTCTTAAATGGGGATGTAATCATGAGCCCACTGCCTGCCGTAAATACGCAAATCTACTGAAAAAAAAGATAACCCGCATGCAAAAGTTGTGGTCCCTATGTGCGGAAACAGTATCCTCATATGGGAAACTGGAAATTAAGTGTTCTTACAAGTGGCGACTTTCCACTATACATGAAGCTGCAGAAGATCCTCAGTTCTGTTCTTCACTTCAGGCAGGAGAAATTCATTTGAAACTAAACCATACATATTACTACCAAATACAAGGACAAATGGCTTTTCCCCCGATGAAGTGGTGTGATTTCTCCATATCGACTCTTAAAGATTGTCATGTGGAAAGGACACACTTTGATTCAAAGTTCTTGGAGGGTTGCATCTATACACTGAATGACTTTTATATCAAAGCCATTCTGCCAGAGCTTTTCTTAACTCTATGTTAAACGAGGAAAGCATTTGAATCCTGTGTAATTAATCCTTCTGCCTTTTCCCTTTCCGGTCAGATTTCATGTTTGCGAAAGGAACGCTGTTATGAAAGATGAAGGAGGTTCTTATGATATTAAAAGTTTCAATACCTGTCTAAAACCTTACGACTGTTTGATTTTCTATCACCTGCTGTTATCGTTTAGTTATGGACAGTTGTAGAATTCAGTCCCCAGGTGTGACAGGTTGGTCTCAGAGTCTCATAATTTATCAAATATATCTGTCCGAGTGGATGCATCAATGTCTGAAGGATGAAAATAGCCTGTTCATACTTGTTTACAAGATGATTTGTGGCATGATCTTCAATTTGTCAACAATAGTCAACTGAAGTTTCCTGAGGACTTGATATTAATCTGCTGATGGTCAGACACAGAATGTTCACTCCCGTTGTCACTGTTGTCACTGTCCCTGGATTGCTCAGCTGCTGGTGCTTGGGCCTCCCTTTGTATGGTACTCTCATCTGAGTTGGAATCAAACTGAAAATTTATCAGATAAAAAATAAAATAATAACTATGATGAAGACAATTGCAATCAGATCCTTGGTGTCCATTCTCAGGATAAACATTAGTAATAGATCTAATTTCAGATTACTCATGTTGATTGCAATCATGTATTTTCTCTATACAAGTAAACACACTCCGTGTTTATTAATATCGTAATGATTATCATTTTGAAAAGTATTTGGTCTTTTAGGGGCATCCAAGCATCATTAAATAACATAAACTTTAAGCCTCAGTAATATATTGTTTATGCAGACTTTTCCTGATGCTTGTTGAACGTTTTCCCCCTAAAATGGATGGTATTAAACACCGTCTGAAATGACTATCCTTTCAGTGTTCCGAACATTGGCGCTGGGTTGTGTTGTGTCTGTAATCACTTTTGAACTAATTGAGCCGTCGAATTCACACTCTCTTAAGTGATTCATTCGCTGGAAATCTATGCAATGTAATCTACCCCGTCTATCTTACCCCCTTCCCTCTGTAATTTGAGTAGACAGTGCATTAATGCCGCAGTTTCGTTCTCGTTTCGTTCTTTTTCCAAAACCTCTCCGGAAGTGAACGTCAAGATAGGGCCGTTTTATCTCTGTTTTCGAAAGAGTTCGCAAAGGGGGATAATAAATAAGGGGGAGATAAGAACATCTTGGAAAGGATTATATTTCAGGAAAGTTCTTCAGTAGTCAAAGAAGTGGGCGTAAAATATCCTTAGGCATTTTCGTACTCTTGGAGTGAAATTTGAAATGGGTTTAAAACATGCTTGTTATTGTTCACAAATAGACTCTATATGACGTTAATCCCCAAAATAGTAACACACTTTAAATAGAACGACAAAGATTGCATTTCCCATTTTATTATCCATAATTCCCATTGTCCAAAATAATCGACTCAAGACTCTAGATGCTGAAGATGGCGAAGGAATGACTGTAGGTAAGGGGTTGATATGCATCTGAAGACTGAAACACAGAAAGTATCACTTGTCCCCAACTTGATTCAAATAAAACTGATTTCTATCCACAAAAAAATCCCGGCTGGCTGTGGCACTGCAGTGGGTTCGAATCCTGGATTCTCTGTTACTATTGCCCTTGGTTTGACTGGATCACACGGTGCTTGTGGGCTTCACCAGGTGATAGACATCTACGGTCTGTGTCCCTTTAGTAATTCCTCATAAGGATGACACGCCTGTGACCAAACAACTAAAGTGATAAACCCTACTCACCAATACACGATTTCCTAAAACAGACTTTGGTCAAATGTGTACGCTACTAATTTCAACTTAACCTGAGTTACAAAGAGCGTTTCTTCGTTTTAACGTTTATTCGCGTGTTACCTTGGTGAGATATTCATTTGTTTGTTTGACATCAGCATCAATCTACGGGATACGATGACATGCATCACCAAGTCAGCGAGCCTGACCACCCGATCCCGTTAGTCGCCCCTAAAGACAATCTCGGAGGAACTTTCACATGCTCATCATAATTAATGATTAAGATAAACTAACATATAGTCTTTTATAATATTTTATTTCAAATTACATTGCTCTCCTCTAAA